TCATATTTGTCTTGGGCGACCATTGACGCGGAAATCCTCCATAACTTCTTGTAAAACGATCAGCAGAAACGGAAGTCAGATTCGGAATCAGCGTTTTAAGGCGATGATATCATCTCATCTCAAAAGGCCACGGCCACCAAACATCGTTTCCTTGAAAAAAGGCAAGTTCAACTGTAAGAAGACTGTCCGGTCAGTTCACCTCGCTAACCGTAATAAGTTGAAGGTAAGTGGCAAGTTAAGCTGAGGACGTAGTGAGCAGAAGTGCATAGGAGACATTAATTCAATGAGCAACCCCTGTTCACGTCTTTTTGGCGTACAAGAGCGCGCAAAAATACGAGGTGTCGGGGCTCAAACTGAAGTGTTATGAACAACTGATTGCAAACAAGAAACTAAGAAATTGAAAAGTGAAGCTTGAGGCGAGAATCATCCCTTTTATTCATTTTCAAACGGTCGTAATACCTTATCGATAAAACAATGAATTATTATTACATTGTTCAATTTTTTCCTTAGCTAGGCGAAATCTTTGGTAGCGATTATCATCGATTTCTCGATAGTGGCCCTGCCACAAGTCGCCCTTACCGAGATTGAAGGCACATTGATACTGCGGGAGGTCTCAAGCATTCGGGTATACTTCACCCGATTTCAGTCGCTGCGCCATCTGGCAAATTGCCAAATGTCTTCAAAAGCAACAATTGCAGACTGGAAATGCTTGATATGTAGAGTTTCGCAGACTGATAAAATGCACTGTCTTCAGTACAATATTACTCTCAGAATGAGCAAAATTTCTCTGAAAGCGTCCATGACATTTCCGGAATCTCGCGAAAGTCCGTGAATTCTGCGACAATCACGGACATTTCATTCTGAGAGTGGTATTGTACATTCAGAATGCGCTTACGATAACTTATAAAAAGTCGTTTCAAATCGAAGAGTAAAACTCGTATAAAAATAATTTTTTGGAAGGCTGGAAGTTGAAGATATTCCCTAAGGTGCTTCTACCTTAGCCTTACGATAACCCTGTACTTTAAAGTATGAATATAGGAAGTTGTCATATGTTTTTCACTAGGACGATTAATCAAGGAGGTCCATTACCCAAATGGCAAATTTTCATTTCATTTTTTTTACAGTTTTATTTATACAAAATCGATTGTTAAAAGCAAGATCTTTTACAGACGAGCTTTCGCATACATCACGTTCGAAATAAACATTTTCAAGCTGCTCTTTTGATTCCGTCGAAATGATTACCAAGGCAAGCATGGAGAAATGAGAATTTTATTCTGGAATACATATCGTCGAGTCATTTGTAACTTAATATGCCCAGTGCACAGTCTACACGCTAACTGACGGACTGCAAAAATAGAACATGCTCATTTTCTGTGATTTCTCCTTCATTCCTTACTTATCTTGTTTTTATTGGTCACATGTTAGTTAGTAGAACACATTTCTACACTTTGTTGGACTAGAAAATGTTTTACTGGGAAGTTACAAGTATGGGTGCCGTCGCTATTAGGGTATAGTGTGCAGTCTCACACATTAAGTTACAAATGACTCGAGGTTATGTTCTTTAATAGCGGTGTGATGCCTGTAGATCTAACCAATATATAAAAAATCGTTAGCCCAACTGAAAAATCTTCCAATAGCGGGAAAAGCGGCGGCTCCCGAAGAGAACGTTCTTCCAAGTAACACCTTTACATTACTAGTTCACTAGTTTGATAGAATTCCTCACTGTAAGAGACTATGGAAGTAGGACACGTTTTACAGCAATATATTCCTGTCTGAAGGATGTAACAAGCACCCTATAGGTTGCAAAAAAAATTACATTAAGTGGTTGTTGTAGAGCTTAACGATTACTGTTAGCACTCTCGTCTTGTATTCGTGTACTCGCATCTAGTTATCTCTTAGGTTTATAGTAACCAAAAATCTCCTTCTGAATGACTACTTTAGGTCAACCAGCTGATAATGACCTCGTCTTACGTTGATAATACAATAATATAATATAATATAATACAATATACAATGTAATTTTGAAAAAAAAATAATTATACTTGGAGCATGAAACACTAAAATCTCAGTTATCCGTAAGGTTTCCGTTCCCTAACATTACAGTATCCTTACCGTACCACCATCGTATCCTGTGTAATGCGACATTACATTAGTTGGAAATAAAGAATAGAGGATACGGACACAAACAAGTGATGTTATGTACCAAAGGAATTCATAGCACCACTGTTAACTTATTAGAAGCCATTTTCTTACAAAAATCGTGAAAAAATCAAATTCTCAAAGGTGGATAAGAGGTTTCTGTTCAAGACTGCTACCGTACTCTTACCGAACCTCTATCGTATCGTTATGCCTCTTGCGAGTAAATTTAGAAAGAGATCCTGCTTTTTCCATTATTGGAAGGTTAGTAGTTAGAAATCTAATCTAATATATAAGGAATGTAACGCCAAATCAAAAAACATCAATTAGGGGGAAACGGCGGCGGGTCTCGAAGCGAAAGCTCCCAGATCCAGCACCTTTAGATTACTGGTTCACTAGTTTTAAGGTAATAACGAGCGGATAACTGCCTAAAAAATTATTCTGACATCCTAAGGCTAAACGATAATTTTTTTCTGAACGGAATATATTTGCAAACACATTCTCGGAAGCTCTGCAGCGCTTTGTAAAAAGTCCTGCGCAAGTTCCCTTTTTCTACCAGCTAACATGAAAATCCTGCGAAAGTTCCCATTTTGAACGTTTCCACTTTTCTAACTGTAAACAAAGTCCCGCGGAAGTTCCGGCGAATTGTCTGAGTCAATCATACAAAAACCTTCAGATCACTTTGTTTTGTTCGAGGCGGAAAAGTTTCTGCAATCCAAACCTACAATTTTCATAGCACCGTTTTCCCCTTTATTTTCACAATTGAAGCCAAGGAATGCGCTAATTACTGATTGCCCCATGATGACAGGTATTTAGCCGTAGAAAACAAGGAGATATAGCATTTTTTTCCTACGACAATAGCCTTGCATTGGCGCAATCGCGCTCGCGTACGTGTTTGCGTTTTTTTTTCTAGCGCGATTTGTGTGTACGGTTTTCGCGCATATGTGTATGTGTATGACCGTCATCGATGTGTGCGTATTCATATGTGCTCAAGGTTATGCAAACCTCTAGTCAAGAGAAAATTTCTCGACCCAAATTTCTCATGGCTTCAAAAAATTTTTTCGAAAAATTCAGCAAATCCAGGTGATAATCATGAATCGCAACGCGATTGCGCTATGGCATGCGAAGCGAACACCCGGCCATTACAAGGGCAATCAAATGCGCCTCCCCCCTGCCGAGCGCCCACTTACCTCATATATCGACGTGACCCCCGTCTTTTATGCAAATCACCCCCGGTTCGTCGTCGTCTGTAACACAATACGGTATTTGCCGTATCTGCGCACAACCGACCGTGTCGCGCGCTCCACGGCAATGGGCGTAACCGTCTTTTCGCCGGCTAAGCTTTGCGTGATTTTTATCGTATTCGTTATGGACAGCTGGATGAGCTGAAGCACCAGATTTTGGATCTTTATTTATTTCAAAAAGTAATTTTCCCATTTGGGTGATTATTAGCCTCTTATTCAAATCCTTAACGCTCTTTGATGTTTTTAATTTAGAAAATCCATGCGTTTTTATAATAGTTAGATAGAGTAAACAAAATGCAATACGACCATTTATTGGACCTTTCTAATTGGCTCTTCATATTTTCCAAAATAATTTTTCCGAAAGTCTTCAATTTCGCGAACTAATAATAACTAATAATTAGACTTGAACTAAATTTGATAAAGATTCCTTGTTTTTTGATTTAGTCTCTCGTGAATAGACATCATACTGTTTCTAATTTATATCCCTTTCTTTTGTAGCAGCCTTAGACCCTATTGAATAAATACTTAAATAAATGAATATTCTTTCTACCTTCTTGAAAGATTTTACGTCTTGCAGGCTTGGTGCACTCAAAAACTCTAATCATGAATCATTTTTCTTATTTTTCTACTCTAAACTTCTCCCCTTCGCTAGATTTTTTTATTATGGAGGGGTATCAGGTCCCTCCTTCTCTTGCTTTCACGTCAAACTTATCTGAAAATCTTCTAAAAAATTTTCATATCGTTGGGTAATTAGATTCTTTAGCTACAATCCCTAGTCCAGTCGCATCGTCAGAGAATTATTAGCGAATTTTTGCTGATAGTATTTTTTTCTGTCCTTTGTTGAGTGCTGTATGTGATGAGAGATTTTCTTCTCTCTAATGCAATAATACGCTTAGAAATCCAGGTTTTTCCCATTTTTGTTTGCTTATTTTGACTGGAGAAAGAATCTTCGGAGGAGAGAGTGAAAGTAAAAATAAGAAAAATTTGTAGAAAATGCGAAATTGCCACAAAATAAACGATTAAAGCGCCATTCATTAAAACGAACCATTATGATTTTTTGTATGATTTTTTGAATGACCTTGCCATACTTTATGGAGGTTTTTGTTTGAATATTTGGCGCTTTTGTGTGTAACATTAATAAATAAATATACAAATAAATAGATAAACAAATAAATAAGGGCTGAGATCTGAATCTTAAAGTAACCGTCTTTTTCTTCTTTAATGTTATGCCGAACGAAAGAAAAGAGTAGAAAATAGTATTTTATTTAGGTAAATAGTGAAGCAGCATTCATGCAATATATTGACTGCTTTATAAGAGTATTTAGGTTTTCCTGGTAATTTTCATGAATTTGGCTTATCCCTTTTCGTTAGGTCTTTACTCTTAATTTTTAACCATAGTACCTCCTCTATGTCACCGCATGAACTCATTCGTTTCTTAGCCAAGGGAAAAAAATCCTTGATTGCTATTTTGTGTCATACTTTGTCTTTTATGACCTGAGTCGAGTGATATTAGCTGTTTTCATTTCCTCACATTCACTGCTTCTTTATTCGCTCTCGTCCTCTCATTATTTCGCTACTGCATAATCTCCAAAAATTTCAAAATTTCGTTTTCTTTACAGGATGTGGACGCCATGTCTGGCGTTCATTCCTCTGATCGCCGCGATGCGAGTCGATCCAGAAAGAATCGCAGCGCGATTGAGGATAGAGCAAGAAATCGAGAACGATCGCGGTATTACACGAACTGATCGAGGGCGTCGACAATTGCAACCGAAAGAAATTAGCATACAGGTGGGCAGAATTTTGACTTTTTTTTACCTAAAATTCGTAGAAAAATCCAGAAAAAAAATCCTTGGTTGCAGAAATTCTTGACAAGAGAAAAAACAGCTCTTTTTCGCAAAAATCCGAAATCATCAAACCCCAAAATCATGATTAAAGCAGGAAACAATCGATTCAACTGCATTTTACTTCTAAAAGTTATTAATTGGAATCGAATATTTATATTTACTACTTGTTATTTTGACTTTAATTTCCTACTTTTGAAGTTTGAGACAAATCATTCTTTCCTTTTCTTTTTTTATACAGAATTGTTCAGATTTGATAGAGCATGACATCTACTAGGTTGTTAGTAATTAACGCACTCTTATTAAAGGATTAACTCCGGCATTTTAGCCCTTAATTAAGGCACAATGACGGACCTGTGATTATGATTAGGGCTATGATTCATGCTGTGCTAATTTTGAGCATTTTCTTTTTTCGAAACGCTCTTAAAAGCTAATAAGCTGTACTGGTAAAATTTGATGCAACTTTTTTGCCACCTAAAATGACAAGTTTTTTAAAATTTGAACATGAAAAAAAGTTATTTTTACCAAAGCTAAACGCTATCAGTTTATAAAAGCTGTACAACTTTTTTGTGCCGTGAAATTATCAAAAACAATTTGGTCTTTTGAATATATAAGGATTTTTTACACATATGTTCCACCAAGTGAATATTTTTTACAGCAATAATAACTTTTTTTTGAGATTTTTAAGGATTCTCTAGTTTCACATGTGCAGTTGTGTATTTTTTCAAACAGTGAAAATTGCGATACCCTTTCAAAATAAAGCTATAAACAGTTATGCAGGACCTTTTTTTTACAAAATTCCACAAATCTCTCTTACATAAATTTTTAGCTCAATCTCCTTTTATTTACGATATGTCTGGAAATATTCCAAAAAAATGTTTTTCATGATAATTCTTTGAATCATATTTGCAGTCATACCTGTAGATAATTCGTATGACTATAGCCTCTGGCCAGTGGCGGTCGCAGGATTTCCGTCCGAGAAGGGAGAGAGGGGCAAACATTTTTGAATGAAGGTGCCGTAAAAAAAATTTCTGGGTTGCTTCTCAAATTTTTTGTGGGTCCATAACCCCTAAAATCTAAAAAAAGGGAGCGTTGGTGCATTCACGCCCCCGAAAGAAATTTTTTTCACAATGCTAAATTGAATTTTTAAAAACTTCTAAAAACTATTTTAATTACTTACTAGAACAAACAAGTAACTTGCACATTTTATAACCCATGTAAGTAAATTTCAAAAATTTCGCGACCCATTCTCGGGGGGGGGGGGGAGGCCTCGGTCCGCCACTGCCTCTAGCAGATTTCCATTAGTGAAATTGCGAGTTATTATAAAAGTAATTCATTTCAAATTATAAGAATATTATCATCTAGTAAATTTCCGTCTAATTGTCTTATAAAGAAACCAGTATAAATTTCCAGTCATAGAATCTTTGGCTTAGTAATAAGACTAAGCGTTCTTTTCCCAACAATTCTCTTCTCCACCCCCCCCCCCCTCCCTCCGCTTCCTCTTCCAAATGTTGACATTTCAATAAAAGTAAAATCCTCATAAAAATGCTCTATCATAAGAGCGATGACGCGCGACGTAACACATGTACGGTTGCTTTTTCTTTTGGGGTAATTGATTTTCCCATTAGCTTCTGTAAACAAACGCAAGAAGCGAGAAAATTACTACAAAGTGGACCGCGAGGGAAGAACCTGATTTTAAGGAGGATAATTGGCATAGATCTCTCTTCGGCTAAAGATCTTGTTGCGATTTCTTTCGGATATAGCATAGTTTTCAAAGGGTTAATTAGGATCAGTGAAAGTTTCAGATCCTGGAACGCACAGATTTGTTTCATCTAGATAAGGAATTCTGTGCGCAGAATAGCATATCTACCGGGAATCTGGAAGTCTAAAATGATGAACTAGACCATGGGAATTTCTGAAAGGGAATTAGCTTGGACTTGGGGAAAATTTGTAGTACCAAAAGCCTTTTTGGTAAAAACCTAATATTGTATCCGAGTTCACAATGCCTAATCTTCCTTTTCGCAAATATTGGCACCATTTTATAGAGCTGGCTTCAGCTTAGATCCACAATATAAAACGATGTCTTGAACCCACGTGGTTTTTGTAGGATTACGGTATGTTTTGAAGGGTTTTGAGCTACTTAAGCTTGAATGTTGCCTCTAATAGGACTCCAAAAGATATGAAAAATGCCGCTACTAATTGTCTTTAGAACTGGGCACCTAACTCTATGAATAAAATCAACAGCATGAAATTCTTTGGAAGAAAGCTACGGTAGGCGTACTGTAACAACTGTTCTCTCTATTCCACAAAGACTTGATTGCAAATCGTACATTGTTAACGAAAAGCTAGCCTCATTGGTTGAAGTGTCAAAATATCCAGAATGGCTTTCAATCTATTATGGAACGGAAAGCGTTTGAATTTCTACCGTAATCCTACAGTAATGAAGACCGATCAATTAATTTCCTATATACTGGAGATCTAACTTGAGATCATGGCTTACATCACTTCTCACGGAGTAAAAATTATGTGATTTTCGTATTCACAAACTCATATTTTTGGGTGAATCAAAGATTTGTGAATTTAGATAGAAGCCTTTTTTTAAAAACAAAAAGTCATAGAAAAACTTTGCAGGTCACTGCTCCCCTCTTCTCTTCACGGTTGTTCGAATATGGTAAAGAAGCTGAAGATAACGAGGTCCCTCAAGCCCTAGATGTGGGGAAGAAGGTCCAGTTAACAAATCCACTCAATTACTATGGCCAAGATTACAATACTCTCTATGTAAGCCTTTCTTTTCTCAAACTTCGATGACGATCCTCATTTTCCCTTTTCAGGTCCTCTCAAACGGAGCCATTGGCTTCGAGCCAAATGCCCGAACCTACAAGGCTGGATTGTTCCCAAGTGGAGCACGACTTATTGCTCCGTTTTGGAATCGAAACGATTTGCGAAAAGGCGGACATGTGTACTATAGAGAAGTCACTAGTAAGTTCCGTATAGACTTTTCTTTTGGATTCTTGCCAAAACATGTGGGAATTTCAGAGGGTCGAGTTTTGGAACGGGGCCAAAGCGAGATTCGCTATCAATATGATCGAGCCGTACATGTCAAATCTGCAGTTATTGTTACATGGGAGAAAATGCAACCTTTGGAGGGAGCTGCAGCACTTCCGGAAGAGGTAGGTCTTTGATGAACTTGATTTTGATCTCTTCTCGATTAGTATGTACTTTGACGGTATGAAAATTTTTCTTTTACAATAAAAAAATGTCTTGAAACTAGAAGAACAATTCATAAGTTTTCAATACATCAAATTAGAAAAGAACAGTTTTTTAAATGATCATTTTTTACGGCAGAGGATCTCATTTCAGAGTACAAAATGTTATTGAACTGAAAGAATATTTCATAGATGGGTTTATCATTCGGTACAAACTGCCATTGAGTTAGAAACATATTTTCACAAATAAATATGGTTTTTTACGGCATGAATATTCATTTTTATAGTATTAATCAAAATAAATATTTCACAGATAAATCAGTCATCTTTTACCACAAAAATTTTCCATTTTACGTTATAAAATGCAAGGATTTTGAGTATGCTTTCAGAATACCAACACCTTCCAAGCCGCTCTCTTCGTGACCGATAATGGAACCTATGCTAACTTTATCTACAGTAATATTGGTTGGACCCAAGGAGCTGAGGTAATGTCACACTTTTTCAATTCCCTTTTCCCTTAAACCCGCTCTAATGCCAAATTACACCGTAAACCCCTTAAAAGCTATGTTAGTGTCGGATTAAATGTTTAGCACGTCAAATTACAGTAATCCAAACGCAAATGCAAGGTTTCAAACCGGCTAAACAGCTTTTGGGGGGATAGCGGTGTCGGTTGTTAAAAAGCGCTATGTTCCCTTTTATGAAAGACGGTTAGACCTCGATCTATAGCGGAACGAGTACCTCGATCTGAGCCTTTGAGGGTCGTCATACGGCCTCGAAGCCGCTTCCTGTTTGACTAGACGTTGGACTCAAGTGTGTCTGCGAAAGGGGGTTTTGGTAAGGGTGCGGTAAAAAAATTAGTTGCAGGAGAAAATAAGCTCTTCGATTTTTTGGAGACTATAAATTCTGGAGATGCTGTACACTGAGAGCTCTGGGAAATTAGAATCTGCGATAGTGCGCCAGGGATAAGAAGTGAAGAAATATTGCGAAAGGGAATTTTCTAAGTCTATAATTTCAGGGACTGTGATTTAGTGCGTCAAAAAATTGTTCCAAAAGTGCGGAAGAAGCTAAAGGCATATTGAAGAAGGAAAAAGTGCTGCAAAATGAAAATTTCTTGCCTTTTTTAACAAGTGAAAAATTTCTGGAAAAACTGAAATTTAAATAAGAGAAAATAGGCATGCAGCGATAAGGAAAAGAAAATGATTCAAAATTTCACATGTTTTGGATTTTATGAACTCTTTGAATTGAAAAGCGATAGAGATACCGAAGAAAGAGGAAAGCCGTAAAAATCCTCTCAATTTTTTTGATTATATGTATGAGTCTCCTCTGTCCCGAAAATAGCTTATGAAAATTTCCGAAAAAATCGAAGTTTGATGGAAGTTACACTGAGGTGACCAAGTGTGTGAATCTTTGTTGAAATCCTACGGGTTCAGCAAACGAATAAAAATTTCTGGAAATTCTGAAACAATGGAAGTACAGGAACCCGAGCAGAGTAATGCAGAAAAAGAATTTTTGAGTTCGCTCAGATTCTACAAACTTTTTCGGCTTTCATGGACCCAAATGAAAAAAAAAGTTCCTGGAAAAAGTGAGATCTGCGTAAAGTAACGATGAGGATTTCGTATTTAAGAAATGTGGAAATTCTTCAATTTTTTTTTCATTTCTGCAACTCTCTAACCTGGGTTTCATCAGGTTATGAAATGTTTGTAGAAATCAGATCTCTTTGTCGAAATCAGATTTCATTGACACGTCGTTTGCCATTTGAAAACAAAACAATCTTATTTGCCTTCTGCTCCCGCCCCGCCTCTTTCTTTCTTATGGCAAATACCTTACTTTATACGGAATCACAAAGACATTATTAGAAGAAGCTGATGTCATAATTTTCAGGCTGGTTTCAATCGTGGTGACAATTCCGAACATTATGCAATGCCAACATCTGGCACAGGAAACATTATGTACCTGGAGGAATACGGTAATACTGGAATTCCCGGAGAGTGGATGTTTGAGCTGGGCGAAAAACGAGTGATTCGTTGCAAGCAAGGAATCAAGGGCGATACATGTGATGAAGGTTTGTTCTGTGATATTTCCTCCATTACGAAATTTGAAAATTTGCAAAGAGGATTCAAAATTTTCTGAAGGGCATGAAGATATAAAGCAATTTAATAGGTAGCATAATAACTTCACAGCAAAAGACTCAACAACAAACTTTTACAAGTTTTCCAGAGCGATTTCTTGAACTTCCATATAGAATAAAAACAAAGGGAAACACATTGCAAAAATCAGATTTTAAAAAATAACTTCAAGTCTTCTATACAGAAAGAAAACTTTCTCGAAATACTGAATTCTGTTAGAATCACGATAGGGACAGTTTGGATTTCAGCACATGTTGAGGAAGCTTGGAAAACATGAATCTATAGAATATCCTCGAGTCTTATTTTCCTGAATTCATTTACACTTTTTTTCACACTTTTTGACACTTTTTACATACTTTTCTCTGCGTCCCTCGGCCTTGAATTTACACTCATGTGTTTTTGGAGGGTAAATCTAAGTCTGAAAAAGTTTTTGAGTCGCACTGTTCTAACCTCAAAAAAGTGACTAATTTAAAAATTGAGACGAAAAGTATTAAAAGAAATGAATAAGTTTAATTCCTGGAAGAACGCAGATCCATGATTTTAATTTTTAGAAAGAATGGTAAATTCAACAACAAATGAAATTTTTTCCAAGAAAAGCTGAAATTATGCAATCAATGAATTTTTTCCATAAAACTATATTTTCAAAAAGTTTAGATAATTTCAGAATGCGCAGCCGGCGAATGGGGAGCTGATTGTGCCCTATGCTGCCACTGTGGGGAAGGCACCTGTCATCCGCTTACTGGAGAATGTCCCAAAGGGTGTGGGGAGTGCTGGTTGGGAGCAAATTGTCAGACAAGTAAGTCAAACAATGTTTCCTTGAGCTTATTGTACTCAAAGGTGATCTGGAACGCAAAAAATTTGATCTTACCTTTTCAGAGAAGGAGAACTGTCATGCTAGGGCGTCGGCCCAATGTGCACCCAATGCCGTTTCCTTTACTGACTATGACCGATGTGGGGAACCCCTGCAAAGGTGTCAGTGTTTATCAGGATTTACTGGGGATGGATATAAGACTTGTCATGGTGGGTAAACCTTTTCCAATTCATTTTCGATAAACTTGTACCCCATCTGTGCGCTTTCTCACCAATTACCGTAACCCAAAACTTACCCAGAACCTTTCAGACATCGACGAATGCCGCGAACAAGTGTGTCACAAGAATGCCGTTTGTACAAACACACCCGGAAGGTACTTCTGCCAGTGTGGAGAGGGCTTCTCAGGTAACTTGGTGTTACCCGCGCCGTTAAGGACTTTCTCAGCATGGTAAACAAATTTTCTTGTAGGTGATGGAGTTACGGAATGTGTCGCTTCGTTCTTATTCCCATCCGATGGACATCAACCATTGCCGAAGAGCAAGACATCATCAAAGGTTAGTAAAGGCCGCTTTTTACATTCTAGGCTCCATTTTAGAGCTTCGAGGTGAGAATGTTCCTTTTTAGGTCCTATGGCAGCTAAAGTCGCCAATGAAGCTGTTTGGCAGTGTCTACGACAAGATTACGGTAGGCAACGACAACTAAAAAATTGCTAAGAAGTAAAATTCCATATTTCTGCAGATCACAACATCTGGCCTCCTGTCCTTGACTGACATAGCTAAAGCATCAGGCGATAAACTTGAAGAAATGAAAATGACTGGAGTGGCTCCGTTCTTTGCGCCCATCGATACTAGCAGAGGAGGACACGTAACAGTGGCCGAAGTCGCCGGTTTGTTCCATTTTCCACAGTCACCTAGGGCTAATTAGCTTTTTTGGTAAGAAGAAAGCATACCACTGAAAAAATGTACAGTAAGACAGGCAAAATTCTATACTATGAGCCAATGTTTTCAAATCTTGAGGTTTTCGGACACTTTTCGGACAAACAGGTGCCCGGCTCCAATATAATTTTTGTGAAAAAAATCATTAGGAAAGTTAAAGTAAAATGCGGACTAAGCTGTAAGAATTACTCTAAACAGTCCAAAAAGTCATACTAACTGGTGGGCAACGAGCTCACAGTGCAAAAAAATAAAATTATTTCAAGATAAGTTATCAAAATAGCTGAGAAATTTTGAAAACAATCTAATGATCTAAAATATTCAAAAAATTTCGGGCTTGTTCAATGCTTTTTCGTTAAATGAAAACAGTAAGATTCTCTACGGTTGTTTCAAAAACCTCTTTTTCCCGGCAGAAAACTTTCCACCAACATTTTGCTTCTTTTAGATACCGAAACCCTTACCCGAGTGACTAGAAGCGTAAGGGATAACTACGATGAGCCAAATTTCCAAGCCAAGAGCGTTCTTGTTGTAACGTTCATGAATGTGACTGATGGAAAGGTCCAGGTAAGAATTATTCTACCAAGCTACGTAAACTTCTTCTTCGCCTTCACAGTCCAACCTTGTGTGAGTAAAAAAAACATAATATTATATGGTTGTCCGGAAAATAATGTCGCTTTTTGTTTTATCATGCAATATCGCAGCAGGGTGCGCACGAAAGTATGTGAATGGGGTACCAACCGATAGATCAGAGCAAGCTCTACAAAATGAAGCTCGAACCTTCGCGCCAGGTTTGATTTGCGTGAAGTTTGGAGCCAAATTTCACAAGGCACTCAAGATCCGAAAAAACGAAAAAGACCGTATCTCCGTTCAGAGAAGTCCTGAGGACCCCTAACTTGCTCACGCATGGATGGACTCACTATACGAGACACTCGTACGCGCATTTTCGAGGTTTTTCCATGGCTGAAAATTGAGAAAACCAAATTTGGCATGTTTTTGCCAAAGCAATCCTGAGATTCTCCCACATGGGTGATTCTGTAGCATGAACCTTTAAGAGTATAACCATGAATTTTCAGCTTTAGACAAGCGCTAGTTTTCGAGAAAAATCAAATTGTTTGCAAAAAACCCGAAAAACACGACATATTCGCACTTTTGACCTCTTTTTATTTCTCGTACTGTAGCCATGGAAAAATACCAAAAACTATACAGGTGAAATGTCTAGTGTGGAGAGTACATGCCTGTGCAAATTGGAGATCCCTAAGACGTCTGTGAACGGAGATACGATTTTTCGGGCGTCTGAAATTTTTTATATTTTGGATTCGAACTTCAGTTGGAGCAACATCTCCGCGGAGATTTGTGAACTAGCTTGTAGAGCTTGCTTTGCTCTATCGAATGATACCCCACTCGATGTTTTTTGCGGTCATTCTGTCGCGGTAGGATGCCGTGCGACATTATTTTCCGGACAACCTGATATTTGACCCTTTTCTTCATCACTTGTCAATCGCATTTTTCCAAGCTCAATGAAAATATTCTGGAAAAAATGTAGCAGTATATTTCCAGAACTATAAATCAAATCTCTCAAAATTACCTAAATTCTATTCATCTATAAGTGAAGGCTTTTCTGAATTTTATAATGTGAATTTGTGAACACTATGATTGTACGAGTATAGGAAAAGATTGTTCTACCTTCTCCATTTTTTCGCAATTTGTATTCTCGATTGTGATGGAAATTTCTCAGAGAAATACAGCAAAATTGAATGTGATATCTTCTGTGATTCATGGAACAAGCTCAAAAATTATTTTTCTATTCGTATTTGTTTTAGAAAGGCAACACCTTCCAAACGCTTCTCATCGGCGGTGTGAATGACAAACAAGAAAAGATGACTTTTGCTGAGTTGCTTTATAAAGACATGCAATGGGGTGATGGAGCTGAGGTCAGTTGGCAAGTGGTCTAAAACCTTAACCTTTCTCGAAATGCTAAGTTTAGGCTGGAATAATGACAAACGATGTCTCGTCCTCGGTCACACTGCCTGGTTCTGGTACCCAAGGTATCGAACAACTTACCCAGCTAAGTAACGTAGGGCAACCAGGAGTATGGTTGTTCAGAATTGGTAAGCGGAGTGAAATTTTTGAGACTTTTGGAAAAATTGCCCAAATGTTGCAGATGAACCTTCAATCCAACCATGTCCATTAGCTGGGCAACTACCACCATTCTGCTCAAAGAAAACTCGTCCAATTGATAGAATTGTACCATCACGAACTAGTACCAGTTTGAGTAAGTGATTGGGACCTTTTGAGATCCGAGATTTTTATATTCGAATTTTTTTTTCAGGGCCCCGTCCACCTGCTCCACCCACTATTTCTCACAACATCGATCCACCTCGACCAGAAAACATTCCGCCTGGTGCAATTGCGGTCGGAGGACCACGTACCATACAGCCGCAGCTCGAACCAATCAGACATCCTGCAACGACAAGCCCAAGACATGAGGTACGGTAGCTACACGGTAGCTGCTCAAGTGTTTGGATTGTATGACAGAAAGATCGCTTTTTCTAGATTTCGGTCACTACACCTTCAGTATTTGCAGAAAGAACGAGGACAACTCGTCCTCGTCCTCGTTATGAGAGCACATCGCATCGGTGAGGGTTATTTTGAAAAAAAAATCTTGAAAAAAATAAGTACGAAGAATTTGGAGAAACATGGACGCAAGACCTTCTAGAAACCGACCGTTTTCTTGAATTTTTTAAAGTTTCAATTTACAATAATTTTTCTCTCGAAGAATAAATCAGCAGAAAATGAATGCGAGGATTCTGAAGAAGTATGAGCGCAGGGCATTATACGAACTCATATCGTATCTAAATTTCAGAAAATTTCAAATCAATTTTTAAATTTCAGGCCCATCGTCTCCCTTGTCGACAAAGATTTTGAAGACATTGGACCAGATGTCTTCGAAATTACCGTACCACCTTTCATTACTGTCATACCCGAGATTTTCAACTCTAAACCAAAACAACTTCCTGACTTTACCCTGCAGGTAACACTCCTGGTAACTTACGCAGACCCCTACAAAATAAATTTTCAGGGACCCCCATCCACCACAACCCGCCGCCCATCCACGGTTGAGCCCACATTCCCTACTTTCAAATTGTCTGATGCTCATGAAAAGCTGATTACCGTACAGCCCATTCAAGCTGCACCTGAAAATGGAACCAAAGCCCCAATTGTGCCTCAAGTATCTGTGTTGACATCGGCATCAAAAGAAGATGTGTCCGAGACTCCTGTGGAAGTTGGAACGACGCCAAGTGTCAGTAATGAGTCCACTATGGAAGAAACCATAGAAAGCAGCACAGAAGCTAAGGTAAGCGAAAAAATTACATAGGTTTGATTGATCTAGACTTGATAGTGAAACATGATCTCGCCCAAAAATTTTTTTGTATTGCTCGAATCATTCCAGTTAAAATAGGTAATGTATCAGTTTCCACATGGTGAACATTTTTTCTCATTTTATAGAATGATTGATATCTTTGCTAAGAAAGTTTGCCGAGCCAATTAGGCTACCATAATAACAAAAAACGAGAAATTCACGAATTATTGAATAAAGCTCAACACAAAAAATTTCGTGCGTGTTGTTTTTCCTTTTTTCTAAGGAAAACTTCAATAGCATCTCGTTCTCGTACTCCTACAGGAGGAATCAAGCTCATTTTTAATTTCTAGGAACCCGAAGTGCCAACGACCGAGAAGGTGATTACTGTAAAGCAAACCGTAACTCCATCGACAACAACTGCACAGATCTTCGTCTTCACAACCACTACAAAGGCGGTAAGGACCTAGCATGTGTGAAAATTTCAAAATGATTAAGGATTGGGATAATTCGAGAAATAAAGGTAATAGAGTGCTATCGAACTTAGCGAATATTCGGGGAAGTTCTGGTTGCTTAAAAACACTCGGAGTCCCTGGCTTCAAAAGTTTTGGAATTCCGCTATTACTGTAGTTTATTTATGTGCAGAATGAGCAAAATGAGATTAAATAGCACTTCTAAATATTTTCGCTAGTCGGAAAGCTTCCTCACATATTTCTGAGAATTTAAAAATAATTTGTCATTGCTATCCTTTTTGTGAGTACGTAATCAATTGTATAAGAGGTGACCTGATGAATTTTTATGATCTGTGTGAAAAGTTTTTTGCAACATTTATCTCAAAGAGGATTTGCAGTACTTTGTTTTCGAATGTAAACCACGCGCTAGGTTGGGACCAACTTATGTTAGCGATTTTTGGATTTTTGGAGGATTGAAAGTTTCCCTATAATATGTTTGGGAAGATTGGAAAAATTCGCCAATCTATTGAGCACTTGATTATTGTTCGCTGAAAGAAAGTAGTTTAGTCTCAATAGAAAGTTCTAAACAATCGGATGAGGTTTTCTATCTCCAACCAGGAGTATTCGTCGGTCGAACTTAGAAATTCTTTGGAAAGTGCATTGGAAAACTATATTGTAATTTTTAGATAACAAGACCACCCCTACAAAAGCGGCCGTATATTGTTACGGCTGGGACGACTACGGTACCACCAGACGATGATCGTGAAGCTGCTGCCAGCAGTAAGTTCCTCCTAGAAAAATAATCGACTAGCTACACTAACCCTTTGCTTTTCAGAAATGGCCATCATTATACCTAGTGTTATCGTTGTGGTATGGATTTTGCTACTTATAGCAATCGCATTGTTTGTTTGCTGTAAGAGGAGGTAAGCCCAGTGTAGTAATTTTTAGAAACTTAGAAAACTTCTTCGAGTTTCTGGAAATGAACCATGACTTTTTAGATCCTCCTCAGCGCATTTACGACCGTATGGCCCAGTGTATTCAGTACAGCCTACAGCTTATGCTATAAAACGTAACGGAAAATCAATGGATGGTTCTTACGAGGATCAAATGGAGAAAGCAGCTCGAATGAGCAGCGAAATGAATGCTTACAATCAGGTAGTTTCGCAAAACCTTCAAAGTAATAACGCCAAATTCGATCATGTAACGATCTCCTTGCTTTTTTGCGATTTCTCAGACGCGCATTTGATGGAAAAACCAAAGCTCTTTTTTTTTTAGCTTTCTTCACATCATGTATTCAAAATAACTTGTTAACCACTGCTACTGATGAAAGACTACCATCAGGTTGATAGGGCAAACACTTTTCGGAACATTTAGTCTTTGATTTTATTCTTTTTGAGCAGGAAGCTGAAGATTCTAGTAAAAATGCTAGTGCTTCAGAAAAGGTTGAGATATCAAACTGCTGCTACTAGTCAGAATTGGGAAATGCAAGTAGAAGATATCATCGAGTCATTTGTAATAGATATGTGAGCTTGCACACAAAGCGTTTCAGCGGACGGCGCCATTAACATTAACTTGTCGATCAAATCTTTTCTAGCGTAACAAAGTGTAAAAGTGTATACTACTAACTAATTAATATTATTTCAAATAAGAAGAGGCAAGGAAACAGGCGATATCGCTGATGAGCAGGTTCCAATCTCCCAAGTCGTCAGATAGCGCGTATGGTGTCCAATACGCATATTCAGTTATAACTGACTCAAGGATATTGAATAATCTATCATCGTAAACGCCATGATATAAATACACTCCGAATAAGAACAAAGTGAAGACAAGAACAAAAACCTAATGACCTTTCTATGTATATGTATGCTTGTATGTTGTAAAACCCTATGTTTGGATGGCTTTGTCTCTACTTCTGAGTTGGACTTTGCTTCTTGTTCTCTTCTTTTTTCACTGCATTTTCATGTAAATGTACTTTAGTCAATTCAAAGCTCAGCTTTTCTATAAAAGCAGCAGACTAATCCTAACTTACATGTCACTAACAACGGGACGTTTCAGTCTGGGCGATTATCGTTATATGGGTCGTACTGGAATTTGAATAATTCGCCTAACTCAAATCCTTCCACGAATCGTCAACATTCACCCCAGTACAACGGGTACACTCCTTCGGTAAGTTTCTAACCTTGATCATAATTCTTGGAATGGTGAAAGGCTGCTCACGTAATTGTGTACATTTCTACCCTTTGATGCAGCCGGCTTGGCGGTTGGAAGGCGGGGCTCCGTGACCTAATTAAGGCTAGGTAATGATCCGACAGCACGCGCGGGGAAGAGACGCAGACGTCGCGGGCGCGAGCGGCCTCAATCAAGTCACAAAGCCCCGCCTTCCAAACGCCAAGCCTGTTGAATCAAAGGTTACCTCTTCAAAAATGGTAATATCTATTACATATCATGTGACACACAAAAATCCTAAACAATAAATCTCTGCGAAGATTCACGAGAGGTAACATGAGTGCAACACTTAACCATAATCAAAATGCACGTAGCAACTAGATATATTGTATATGCTAATTTGATTAACAGAAAAAATTTCTCCTAATTCCGACATTTTTATGATACAACACAAATAGTATTTCGTGTTTTGCTAGATTGACAGATAATAGATCAACACTTTTGTGAATTTCAAATTCTTTAGCGAAACTAATCATGCACTTTGCAAATGGCTTTTTTTGCCTACAAATCTTTTTTCGGCTATTTTACTTTTGATCTCAAACCTGCTAAACATGAGAGACAGTAAGAGAAGGCCTTAATACAGCATCACTGTGGCTAGTTGACCTAATAATTTGTGGCTATTTACGCAGAAGTGAGGAATCCACAGACTTTTCTTTTGTTGTTCTTCCCCAATTTTCAAAATAGTGGCATGATATCAACAGGTTTTATATTGTTTATTGTAACTTCATTTCAGCGATACTCCTATACCGGCCGGTATTAATTGTTCACTTCTCCGCTCGTCAATACATTCGATGCTACTTTAAGGACATTTTGTTGTACATCTTTGTTACGAGCCATTTTTATGACATATCTAGAGCTTTTTCTTTGTTTGAAGGTGTCTACAGTAAGCCCTCATCAGCCAGTTAAGGTGCCTCCTCTTGTCATTTATGTATTGAAAGGTGATAAGTATTTAAGTAGCTTATTTATACTTCTTTTGTACAGCGCTTTCTCCTCGAGATATACCACTGAGGGTTTGATATTGTAATGCTCAATGAATGAAAATAACATAACGTGATAGTTATGTTACGTAGCGGCATTCCACTTTAATAAGCTCATAAACAACTCCCTCATATTTGATTTTTATGCATTGGTTGACTCAATGCACTTTTGGACATTTCTGAACGATGTGCATTTCCAGCTGTGCCCAGCATTTCACTTTAATTTGATTTATGTTGTTACCCCTTTGTGAAGGAACCACTGATAAACATTATCTCAATTGGCATATACCTATGTTGATTGATTGTACCACAGGTCTTACGTAGAAATTATGGGATTTGGTTCAAAATGACTAAAATCCTTGCAGTATATCTAACGATAAGGGAAAGTGCAACCAAAAAATGAAACGCGAGTGCGCTGCTGGAGCTCGCGGAGACGCCAAACAAGGCTAGAGGAAAACTATAGAGTATGCCGCGGAGGAACAGCAGAGAAAACATCCGTCTGGCGGGTCGCTCGACCCCCCCCCTCCCAGCGCCGCCGCTTTCCGAGTCAACATGTTTATTCATTTTTCATGTGAGTCACATGTTTTTTTTATTATGGTAGCCACTATGAGCACTGCAGTTAACTTACGATTCTTCCATGGCTGTTTGGTATAACCGTCTATTATTCTGAAAATTCCTAATAGAATTAATACAACTTTCTTCCTCTTGTTTTTTATGGCTTCCCCTCTTTATATATGGTGCTATCCGCAGTTTCATTCGTTGTCGCACTTTATATGGAGTGTGATGTCCCTAACACTTGATAACTTTTTATCACCTCTGCGATGAGGGCTGAATATAACAATTTTGCCTTGTTTCCATTTTCAATTCAGATACAAACTGGCATGGATAAATGCTTTTATTTTCAAAAACAAATGTTATTCGTGCGGATTATGACGGTTGTTGAATGAAAAGAAACATAGAAAGGAAGTTCGTTAAAGTACATACGGATTATTAAAAATATATTACATACAAGATTTACAAGGGTCTTTTCAATAGAATACATTAACAGCCAAAAACATATCGAAATCAGATCTCCAAAGAGATTAACGATCTATTTGAGTTACATGACGATACAGTCTCTTTCCGTTAGACATGCAACCCATATCCTGGAAAAAATTTATCCCAAGTTTTTTTTCAAATCAAGGTGGGCCAACTTATTACAGACAGCCTTTTCAAGGAGAACATCTCAAATGGGGCGTCACTAGTAACTTCGGCAAATATGTTATCAAAGGAGTTTTCAGTCCAACATTCCCACTGAAATTTGGAAAGGACCGGAACCCGTCAAAATAAAAGCCTTTGAAAAGCTGCGTCAGAAGAAATTTCCATTTGAAGAAGTGGCCACGATTACGACGCAAATCGAAGCTATTATCAACGCTAGACCTATCCCAACTACTTAGTGGAACTGATGTTATAACTGAAAGTTATGTCGCGTCCGTAGACTTCCCCAGCTTCAAGGGTTACTGTACTCCTAAGCTTGAACCATCGCCTAAGTTCGGACATTCGGCCGCATAAACCAGACGCTGGGAGGGAATGAAAGATTTATTATGGAAGCATCGCACACACAAGCGCATAAACAAGCGTCTACAAGCGGTAGGATAAAAAGCTATCTACTAGGCTGCATGGCATCGAAGTATCCCTGGCAATGGCTGCTCCGCTGAGTCGAATCATTAATCTCTTCAGCGGCGGCTCTGTCGTGGGCGGTCGCTTTTCCTGCATGTCACGCTTCGGAAAAGTCCCGTTCTCGGGATTTTCAAAGAAGCCGTAATGCGACTGGTATAAAACGGTGGCCTGGTGTCTTTGCTACAAAATTCGCAGGGTTAATAATCGTAGCAGACGCTGATATGATGAGGTTTGGCGCATTTTGGGTAAAGATTACCTTCGTTGTTATGTGGGCTTTTATGTAAAAGGGTAGGTATACCCTGCATTGATGAGCCAGGTGGTTCTTTGTGCGGAGTGGGTACATGATTTTTGTCCTGTTGGTTTTGGCTGCTTTACTGCCATCGGTAAGGCATGGGAGACAGATGGAGATGCTGCGTGCTGTTTTCGCGTCTGGACGGGTGAGACAGGTGGGTTGTCAATGGTGACGCGCATAGAGATTGGTATTTGGTTTCTGTAGCTTCTTTCCCGGTGGCGTAAACTCCATGTGAACGTTTCCGGAGTTGGCAGTGCACTTCTTTTTCTTAATTTATTCTTGTGGCGTTTGTCGAAATCGTCAGTTTCGGAGTCGGATGAGGTTCTGGCATCCAATATGGTGACGCGTTGAGGAACGCGGTAGCGATCTTCGGTAGAAGGGCTTTGTCTCCTGTCCTGCTGTTGGTGTTGTTGTCAAGTATGGTGTAGGATAATAGTGCAGCTGGCAATATGGCGGTTCGCTGGCAGTGGGAAAAGGTGAAAGTGGTCTGGATAATTGGGTGGTTTTCAATCCTCACCGGAATACACTCCATCGAAATGGGCCTTCCACCCACTCATCAAGCTCTTCTTCCGAAGTTTCCGGTGTTTCTGGACAGGCTCGATTAGGGATGTATCGTGGTTGCGGCAGGAGCCTTTTCCAAATGAGGTGCGGTTCCACTGACCTGTGCGGTTGAAATAGCTGCACGTATACGAGTTCCATCGGGACATACTACATGCTCTCTTTGCCCGTCTGGAGCCATATTAGCGGCAGATCCGGGTGTTTTGTTCACCGTGACCGTTATAATGGTCCGCGACGGTTCTTCTTCTTGCACAACTTTTGCATGCGCACGGTATGTGCAGTGGTGCCTTCGTGCACTTGCATGACACGAAAGAACGGCAAGGCACCTTGATGGGGAAGACTGAAAGCGGCTTTCGCCACCGTCAGGGTCTCATATATATAGGCCCTGATGCGGAACATACGCACTTCCTCGGCTAGTCTGCCATCTAAAACCTCTAGTCCTTAGTCGGTGCTGCATAGTGACAGATGTTGCACTTTTGCTAGGTTTTCTTTGGCTTCAGTGACGTCAAAGCATGGAAGCATTTTAGAAGCAGAAGCAAGATATTCCTGATGGTGGCTCTTCATCTGAGTCATTATCAGCGGCGAATGTGTTGTGGGCCGTCGCATTTATCTACACTGATATTGACGATATTCCACTTTAACAGGTCAACCGATTTTCTGCAAGAGTGTCAGGATGAAGGTTGCAGGTCCCTCCCCTGAGCTGTAGCGGGAATATGAGGTTCGATAACACATGATTATAAATAGGTTTATTAACGTAAGATATATACGTGATAGAAAAGGGGGGAGGGGATAAGGGATGGAGCTGAGCCGTGACGACAGCCAGCCAGCTGCGTAGTCGTCGTCGTCCTAGGAGAGATCCGACTCTCCTTTTTATAATGGACTCGGCCTCCACAACACCTGCTCCACGCAGGCTTGAGCGTGGGGAGTCATGGATGACAGATGGTCTCCCGACATCTCCATTCCTACGAAAAGCTCGACCTCGAGCTTATGTCGAAACTTCGCAAGTAATTATCACTTCAATTATTTTCAGACAAGTCTTCAAAGATCACAGCGTTGTAGGAACAAGGGGACTTCCAAGTTGTCCAGGGGTCTTCTCTGAGTCCAGCCAAGGGAACTCTTACAGCCACGTCCATTTCCATATAATCGGGCATTATAGAAGCTCGTCCTTGAGCGTCCTCGAGCAAAAGAAGATGACAGATGACAAAAATATTGGGGGAGATGAGGTCAGGAGACGATAGGACGGTGATGACGAAATGTGGTAAGGGAGGTAACGGTCAGGGCCCGGCACGAGGTGGGCAAACGGGGTTTTCCAAAACGAATTCCCCTTTGATCCCAACAAATTTTACGAATACCCCCTTGAGCCCAAAAATGACGTTTTGTGCTTGTGCGACGAGATTACCGGCCACACTTCGCCTAAAAGCGCTCAAAAGCGCCCAAATTGCTCAAATTCCTCAAATTACTCCTCAGCTGGATCAAGATAGAAAACAGGAAGAAAAATAAGCAAGAAAATGATTAAGGAATGAGAAAATATCAAAGAAACGCAGTTATAGGAATGAGAGACGCCGCTCCCGCGCGTATCGATTGACTGGAGCGCGCTTTCCATCATAAAAAGCTAGGCTGCTGATGCGATTTTGGGCTCTAACAAGGTCAAGAGGAGGAGTTTCGGAACCAAAATTTCACCATGTAGTAAACTTTAGGTGTACAACAGATTTATGTAAAAATTTTGAAAAAATTATGTAAACTGAGAGTTTTGCCGACCTCAGGTGGGAATTAGGTCGGCAAATGCCGACCTAATTTGGAAATTAGTTAAGGAAACTTTTCATTCACATAAGTTTTTCATAATATTTCATACTTAGTTACTTAGTCCTACTGCGCATACACACACCGAATCCCGCGCGATTTCGTTACCTCTGCGTTGCAAACGAGCCATTTTTCCATTTCTTTAGTAGCGCAAAATTTTCAGAAAAAAGTTTGCCACAACCTTCAGTCACATAATTTTTCAATGAAACTCCTCAGTTAAGCCGTGCAAGTCCGTGTGCATGTACTTACCAAGTTTCATGCCATATCGTTCATCTGCGCGTTCCAAACGGCCGTTTGAATTCACATCTTCATTTACCAGTTTTGCGAAATTCTCGGAAAAAATGCTAATTACTCGTTCCGTTCACATAAGTTTTTCATAAATTTTCATACTATGTTTCCACTAGCCTCTCTCCGTTCGCATACAAAATTTGGTGCCATATCGTTACACATACATTGAGAACTAGTCATGCATGCTGTTACAAATAGCATCGCTTGGGCGACGTCGCGCGTGCGGCAATTAGCGACGGCGCGGTTTGACGCGCGCGAACTCCAGTGTTCGCTTGTTGAGGCACATAACATGTCAAGATAAGTAGCGAGCATGAACTACTAATTTTTTTCCGGGGCTCTGCCCCGGACCCCGCAAAAACGATTTCCCCTTTGCTTTTTGGCCCCAGAACGATTTCCAGCTTGTCATTTGCCGACCTCGTGCCGGGCCCTGGTAACGGTGAGGAAATAAATGCATGAGAACAGATGAGCAATATTGGGCAATATACGAGTCAACACGCAACTAGTCAGTAACAGAAATTTCTTTCTGCTTGTACATATTATATTGCATTGTAGAGAGAAAGAGAAAAAAATTCTAATGGGGAAGTTGAAATTATTTTAGTGAACAATACATTCAGTTAGAAAGAATTGCAAAAAACGGTGGCAAAAAAATACATGCGATGTTTGTTTTCGTAATTGCTACAATATATACTAATGGGGCAAGCATGAATCTAGTACAATACAAACTAGTTTATGACTTGGGCGAAACGATTTTTGTGCTTACGTTACTGTGAAAAGTTTTGGTTTTACTAGAGCTGCTTACGAGAAAAGTTTGTGTATAGATATTTTTTTGAAATCGTCGGTTCAAAGAAATATAGAGTTAAAAAGCGGCGTTGCGGCAGAAAAAATAGAAAATAGACCTACGGATGGAAAGAAAAATTTACTAACCGAGCAAAAAGACAAAGCGTCTTGTTCAGTTAATTTTACGGTTGTAGGAACCCTCGTACAACTATTTCTACGAAAACGTACAGAACGACGAAGGTGTTGCTCTTCATTTTCTGATGTTTCCGGTGGTGGTGAGTTTGGAATTGGATTTGAGGGGAAACATTAGCAAGTGTGGAGCGAGGACAATAGATTTTGAGTCTATTGATGTGTACAACTTGAGAGGAATGGCCAATCAAATTGCGTATAGTAATGTTAGGACGATTTACATTTTCTACGAGATAAGGGCCTTTCCACTGAATTGAACACTTTGGACGTACTGTGTCGTCATGCAGTAACACAAGATCTCCAGTCGAAATGTCCTTCGTAAAAACTTTATGTAAAAAGTCGTAAACTGATTTGTATCCAGCAGTTTTTTCTGCAATTTGATTACCTACTTCCGTAATCGTTGTTTGCAGAGCCGTTGTGAATTGATCGGCGAAACTGTCTGAAGCGTACGTGATTCTGGACGGCAACTGGTGGACGATGTCGCACCATGTGATGGGACGTCCATATACGATAAAGTAAGGGCTGTATCCTGTAGTATCTTTGATTCTGGTGGCTGTATCCTGTAGTATTATTAATGCTGGTATTATATGCAAAAACAATGGGTTACAGAAAATCGGAACATGAGTCTCGCGCTTCGGAACAGTAAGCGGTAAGAGAATCGACGATGACTTCAACCAGTCGTTCAAATTGCCCGTTCGCCTTATGGTTATAGCCCGTAGTAAACGAATTCGAGATTCCAAGAACATAATTGATTTGTGCAGAAATATCGCTCGTGTAATTGGATCCTCGATCGGATACAATTTCGTTGGGTATACCATGTTTTAAAATAACGTCGTTAATTAAAGCTTTCACTACGGTTTCTGTTAACTGATTTGGAATTGGAGTGCAAATTACAAGTTTGCTAAGCGCGCATACTGTCATGAAAATATATTGTCATGAATGCATTCTGGAAGAGGTCCAACGATATCGGTATGCAGACGTTCAAATGGTCTTTGAAAAATGGGAAAAGAGCCTAATGCCTCATGAATAATATGACCAGATGGAGTCTTAATTTTCTGACAAACAGCACATGTTGTTATATATTTCATTACTTGCTCATACATTTTGGGCCAAAAATATTTAGCTTCAACTGCTCGAAAAGTTTTCCTGGCGCCCAAATGAGAGCCTAAAAGTGGATTGTTATGAGAAGTTTGGATAATTTTAGTTTGCATTTTGCTATCAGGGACAAACAATTTTGGCGTTGTCTTAGATTTTACATACAAACAACTGAAAATATGTATTTGTCTAGAAAGTCAGAAAATTCGTCCGGAAGAGTATCTAATTCTCCTTTCAAAAACTTTAGTACGACGCTGTACTCGGAATTCATCTGAGACTGGCGAATTTCGTCTAAAGCTGGTAGAGACGATACTTGTATGGCGTTAATGTTCGCTACTTAGCAATAAAAGAGAATCGCGGAATAAATCTGCGAACGTATGAAGCTGCGCCTAGGAATGATTGAAGGGCTTCAACGTCTTGTGGTTGTGGTATTATGGCTATGCTAGCGACTTTTCAGGATTCGAACGAGTGCCCTTTTTGCTAATCAAAACACCGAGGTATTGCGCTTCAGTTTTAAAGAATGAGCATTTCTCGGATGTCAATTTCATTCCAAAATTCTTTATACGAATGAACACCTCTTCTAGATTTTCTGGGTGTTCCGTGATCGAGTAACTAGCAATAATGATATCATCGATGTAAGCAAAACAGCACTGCTTTTAGCTCACGGACTAAGGAATTTGCTACTCGTTGAAAAGTGCCTGGGGCACCTTTTAAACCTTGGGCCATGACGGTAAATTGGAATAGTCCCAGGAATGATGAAAAAGCCGTACGCTCTTTATGTTTTGGTTCTAAAGGAATTTGAAAAAATCCGCTCTTGAAGTCAAGAACGCTATAGATTTCCTTTCCACCAACGAGATCGATAATGTCTTGGATATGTGGAATGCAGTAGGTTTCATTCTCAGTTATGGCATTAATTTGCCTATAATCGCCTATAATCCACAGTAAAACGCCATTGATCTTTGTTGGTTCCTTTCTTAACCAAAACAATCGGA